TTTTTCTTTCTTTTTTTTGGAGACAGAGTCTCAAGCTGTCGCCCTCAGTAGAGAGCCATGGCATCAGCTCACAGTAACCTCAAACTCTTGGGCTTGAGTGAGTCTCCTGCCCCAGCCTCCCAAGTAGCTGGGACTACAGACACCCGCCACAATGCCCGGCCATTTTTTGGTTGTAGTTGTCATTGTTGTCTGGCAGGCCCAGGCTGGATTCAAACCTGCCAACTCCGGTGTATGTGGCTGGCACCTCAGCTGCTGAGCTACAGGTGCCAAGCCGGCTTGATTTTTTCCTGAAGATTGAGCACTGCTTGTTTTTCTCTATCTCTGTAGTTACTATTTTCCTGTCCTTCCCTCCTCACTCTCACATATGCGTCCTTTCCTCTGCTTTTTCTTCCTTCTCTCCTCTCTCACTGTGTCGGGTATGAGCATTTCGCCGTCTGTTTCTTTCTTGCTCTTTTGGGGAGTATTTGTCCTCATCTTTATCCCTTTTCCATTCTGTCACTTCTTTCTCTTTGGCCCCTTGCCCTCAGTTCATCTTCTTGTTCATGCCTCTTCCAGTGGGAATCTCTGTTTCTGGCCTCTCCCTTCCTATGAGAATCCTCCTCTTTCCAGGAATCACGGTCAGTGTAATGGTTCTCCTGGTCTCTGGACTGGCTCACTTGGTGCTGATCTTGCTTTTCTCGTGTCCTCTTGACGTGGAATCTTTTGTTTGGTGTTTGACACCGCGCCCTCTTTCTTCGATAGGTGACCGTGAGTGGGTCTGAGTCCCATGATCGTGGGATCATCCTCTGAGGTCTCTGTGATCTTTTCCATCTCACTTCCATTTAGTCTCTTCCATGTCACCGTCCTCACAGCTCTTAGCATCAAAGTCACTGTCTGCATCTAGGTTTTCCAGAATGCATTTCTCCTGTGGTATTATGTTCTTTGAATTTACTTCATCAGAGTAACCCCTTGATTTCTCTTCCTTTATCCCAGACCTGGCTTCACGAAAGCTGCACTTAGGTTCTTCCTCTTCACCAGCTGCCTGATTTAACAGGTGCCTATGAAACCTCTGAGCACTTCCTGCCTCGCCACTTCCAGCTGCTCCCTGCAGCCCCCTCCTCTGTTCCCAGCTGCTCCGCGCAGCCCCCTCCTCTGTTCCCAGCTGCTCCCTGCAGCCCCCTCCTCTGTTCCCAGCTGCTCCCTGCAGCCCCCTCCTCTGTTCCCAGCTGCTCCC